GGAGCTGTTGCCATGTGCTGGGGCTGATTGAAGTGAAGATGATAAAAGGTATGTTTTACCCTTGAGTACATGAGACATCACCACTTGACCTCCGGCACAGGTTTTGCAGGGACGCGGGCTCCATGCTGGTGTTTCCAGGGAGCCGGTGACCCGCCAAGCCAGGACTCCTTCCTGCCATCCTTGACCCCGGGAATTTCGCTTCCTCGTGGCTCCTCCTGGTGGCCACGGGGGACCCCTGACTGCAGGACTACCATGTGGGATGCTGCTCAGCTGGGAAGCCAATGCTTTTATGAGCAGTAGGATACCCCAAACTTACATATTTTTACAGGACATCCACCACATTCCCCGGAACAATAGTACTTAATGGAAAATAGTGTCTTCTGGCAAGCATACAGCAGCACTTTTTGGCAAGCACTTTTCTGGGCATGCACTACCTCAGCAGGTAAACTGTTAATTGAACTGCCATTAATGACTGGTAACMAACACATAAATACATTCCTATATATAGATATTGCTCCACATCCCAGCTTATCAGTCATCACACTTAGTCTGAGCTAATRAATTCCACACCAAATTATCCCACAGTAGCCCTGTCATTTTTCTTCAAATKGTTATATATTTGAGGAGGATGCTTTAACATACAATTGTGGTGAAATTAGGCTTGGCAAGGGATTACAGCAGCTGCAGAATCTCTTTGCTGGGATCCAAGTCTTCTAAAAGATGCTTTAATGTGCCAAGGTCAATAATAGAGGGGCAGAGCTTAGAACAAATGGGCCATAAGGGCCAAGTTCTGCTGGTAAATCAGTCTGATAATGATATRCCACTGATGTCACAGCTGGTATTGGCAGCCTGAAGGGTAGAACAGCCAAACTGAGCCAGGATGTGTCAGCCAGAGGAACAGAGACAGGAGTCCAAGGGCTGGCAGTGACCTCTGAAGAAAACAGCTGGGACACACGTTTGGTTTAGGGACATCAACTCTATACTTTCCAGCCTTGATCAATAATCAAGTGCTCCAGAAAGGCAACAAGTACATGAATCTGTGCCTTAAAATCTGGTAARTAAACATTTTCAAGTAATCACATAAAATATTGATTTTGACATTTGCTGCAGAGACAAGATTCCTTTCTTTACACTGCTTTTGATAGACTCTAAACTGCATGTGGTACCGCATTGTGAGCAGTAACAAATCCAAAGTATTCCTGGTTAATGAATGGCAACTAGTTACTGAAAGTAACTGGCCATGAGCTACATACAGATTAAAATTATACCTTATCCCTCTCACAGTTTAACAAATGTAAGCAGACACTGCTGTGGGATTTTTTTTCCCCCTTTTTAATTAGGAAGTGCCAGTTCCTTGGAATACTTACCATAGAAGTACTTTGGTCAAAGTTAGTCRAGAGGCTGGAACTTTGAACAAATTAAACTTTAAGGGTATTGGTACAYAGCGCCAACACAACACCTCAAACACCAGTTAAAAGCTTTGTTTTGCTGCTCTGTGAAAATGCTCAAAAATGGCCACAAGCTTGCAGAACACCACGGAATGGTAAACCTGCTTATCAGCCATTCCAGGATCCAGGGAACTCAYGGTTGTATCTTTGAACTAGACTAAAAACCTGCTCCAAGATCTAAGACATGCTCTTTTTCTCCTGAAGTTTCACAGTAATTTCCTCAGAAAAAGAGGTAGTTTCCCATGTAACAGGTATTTCACATTTTGTTGTGATGTGTTCAAAGCTGKAACTTGAAAAACTAGGGGGATGGTTATGTAAAAGGTTTATTGTAAGAGAGGGAGGAAATCTTTCCGTTTAAGATTAATCCAATACATTATTTACTGTAAAAGTCACAACAGTGCAAGACAGCCAAGCAGTAACAGCTTGTACTCCTGCCCCTATGGAATGGAAAACTTGTCAAGAGACTTTCTTAAAATGTGCACACAAAGAGACATGAAGACAAATTGTAGAAAAAGGTACCCATTTATTCAAGGTATGACAAGGATATTTACAGGATTCATTTGCTCAGAATAAGATCCATCCTTACGAGTTTTAAAGCAATTATAAATTACATTTAAAAGGGGAAACATTCCAAGCATGTTTCTGTTAGAGATATTTTTACAAGGACAGAAACACTTTAAGGCTAAGTTGTTTAAATCTTTACTGCCACCCACATTTATCTTGGCAAAATCATCTCGAAGACATTATCTTGAGGGATAGACTATGCTAAATTCAACTTACATTTCAGTTCCCTCAGATACTTTTCACAACAGTTCAYATGTGACAAAAAATGACTTTTGATTTAAAACAATGAATTCAATATAAATGAGTTGACCTGCCTACACCCCAACTTTTCAAAGAGGCAGAAGATCACCCACAGCAACACATTAACCATCTCCAAACGACATGATCAGCTTTCTTGTTGATGAAGGTACTTCAGCTTACCAAGCAGCTTGCTGCAGCCAGAGATCCACAGTCAGGCGGTGCAATCCACCTTTCCCATCACATTATTTTTCAGGAGAAAACAAAAACCTTCAGGTAGCTGGCTTCTAAAGTAAATGATGAACACTGTCTGCTTCAGACAGCACTTGGTTCCCACAGCACAGGCTAGTATGCTACTGTAGCAAACAGAACAAGTTGGCTAAGSTGCTGTAGTGTTATTCTCTAGTCACTGTCACACACAACAGACCTAAAGGAGCAATAAAATTGGATTATCTAAAATGGTTTATCTCTTGAGGTAGAGCCCACAAGTCAGATTTGCTCCCATCTGTAAACTATAACACACATGCCATCAAGCGAATATAGCTATTTTTGGTCATTTATAAAACAAACTCACTGATTTTTCAGATGCTATTAATTGTAAAACAACAGCTATTTTTTTCCTGAATCATTCTGTGCCTGTTTTAGAAGAAAGCAAATTAAATATCGATAATAGTAGACTGCAGCTATTTATACAATTGCAATGAAAAAAMCCCATTTTTTATACAAAGTCAGAGCAACTTTCAAAAGGATTAGCATATGAGGATTCTTTTTAACTTAGAATTTATTTTGAAAAATTCCAATTTTAACTGCAAAATAAAAATAAAAAAAAAACTTAATACTGAAAACTCAGATTGATATATTTCGTAGTATCTGCAGTTTTAAATTTGCATGAAATAAAATTAAAAGAAAAAAAAAAAGAAAAAAAAAACCCAAACCAAAACCCCATTCATTAGACCTTTAGGCTACTTAGCTACTTTTACTACTACATTGGGTAATTTGGTTTTTGGATTACATGAAAGGGAAGAGAAAGTGAAACACAACAGAAACCCCCCCACCACCTGCACAAACACTATTCAGTGAGCAAGCACGGTTTGTTAGGTGAGGACACTGTAACTAAGCGTATTGAAAGTGCACAACGTTCAACATTCCAAAAGAAGCAGAAACATGACCCATGGTTTAGGAGGGGACATTTATTCCAGGTTAGCCAAGAATCCTCTGCAACCAAGAGAAGTTGTTTGAAGATAACCCCAGTAACAATTTACAAACATATGGAGATTGGCACTTGATCTTTAGTYAGCCCCAGTAACTGAATTTTCTCCCCAGAGACTCACGTACACAGAACTTTAAGTTTTCATTTTATTACCGTAAAAAATAAAAGTCAATTTGTAGTTCCAGAGTAAACAAAGAAAGCTTAGTTTCAAACTGTTTAAAAACAAAGTTCCAAATTCAGATAAGTTACATTTCACAGGGTTCATATCAGCACCTCAACCTAATGCATTTTTTTGTGAACTAGGTGTATTTAACAAAGTTTTCATGTTAGTGACAAGGGGCTACATTCTCATCCGGATGCACATGTAACATGGTTCAAGCAGAACAACCTGGAAGGACTACAAGTCAGCTTCCAGAGTTCCCCAAGGAGCTCTACATGTTCAGAACCAACWTTTAAGACCAAAGTTATTAAAGATTGACCTTTTGCATATTCCGAAACGGAAGGCAAATACAATCAACTAACATTTGGCTTTGAAACATTAAGATAACAATGTTGTATTTCAGCCACATATTTACAAAAACATTTACTACAGAACTGAGTAGGGTTTCCTTTTTATTGTCATAATATACTTATAGATGAATAGTCATCTTGACCTTCATGCAAAGATGCATCTCTTGTTACACAAGAAGTTTCCTGTTTGATTTTCTGCACTCTGAGGATAGCAAGCAGAGAGTTGGGTAAGTTTGGGTCACCCTTAAAAATGTAGGCCTGTTTGCTCTACTGCACCTTCAAAATCAGGAGGTAAAGGACAGGCACCTTTAATTCCACAAGGACTCCTTGCCTCTAGCATGTTTTCCAAAACCAACAAAAGTAGTCTTGAACAGTTGTAACATGGGTTATTCCATGACTTTCACCTCTTCAGTTTACTTCCTGAACTCTGGAGTTACTTTCCTAGAAGCATACTTGCCGAGCTTCTTTTCTAATGTATATTGTTGACTATACATTTTAAATTAAACTGTTATGTAACRAATGTAACAAGTTTTTCCTTTGTACACAACTTAATCTTTGTGCTGAGTATTCTTCAAAGGGATTTTATAAATAATACAGTAAAAGTTTAGAATCAGTCTTCCGCCTCCTCATTATACCATGTTGTTGCTCTCTCCAACTTTATCTACAAGCTGTGGAAAAGGAGACAAAAAGGTTTTAAGCTGATGACATTTATGCACAGTGAAGCTACTCTCAAACGTTGCTTGCTACTTGCACAGTTAGTATGAGACTGGAAATGAGAGTCAAGTAGTACTCACCGAGGTCTCATGGTTTAGGTTTGTGAAAATCAAAGTTCTTACATTGCAATTGTGCTTCTGCATGACATGTTTTTCTCATATAGACATTAACAGTGCAACATGAAGATGCAACAGAATGAGAAATGAAATAGAAGAATGCAGATAACACTGCCAGCTTAATGGTGGAAACAAAACAATACAGTCTCAGCCACACATGCATTAGTAGACCAAGGAAGATACTTCAACTGACCATTACTGTGGATTCTCTTCTGAGCCTACGTAGGCTTTGAATAAAATATTAACAATTATCTTTTGAAAACAAGATTTAACCCCATTATGATCAAATTAAATATGACTAAGATCAATTGACAAATGAAACATTCAATTGATCATGAATTATGAGCCACAACTTGGCCTAACTGTGAAACTGGAACAGATGATCTGGAACACTCATTTTWAAAAAAAATAGCCTGTATGCATCTAAATTATTCCCATTATTAATTTTTAGTAGTAGGTATTAAAACTGTCTCTTTCAAAACTGGTATTAAAAATGCTTGTGTTAAAATACATACAAAAATTAGCACAGTAAAAGTAGTTGACTAAAACACCCTAGATTAGCATCTTTCTGGCACCTGTTAATTGTCTTCAAATCCCTGACCATTTGGTAAAGAAAACTGAAAACTCCATTTSAAAAAAATACAAATCATTGTAATAAAAAGATGTAGCCTGGTGCAGTGGACCTCAATAAATATATCTGATGAATGACTATGCATCATGAGAGTTTCTGGGTTCACCATATAAGCTGCAGCTTAACACCTGAACTCCACTGTTTGCTTTTACAGGCCACTTTCCGTAAATTCACCCAATTACTGCACCAAGAACAGTGCCCTCCTCGTAGAGATAAGAAAAGAGGCCCCAGGCAGGATTCACCTGTCTGGTCATCCAGAACCAACAGTGAAGCAGGAAGAACTGCAGCRTTCCCAGTCACAATCCAGGGCTCTTTCCACTTCACTACCCGTGAGCAGAGCAGCTTCTGCAAACCTGTCCTTTTGTTGCTTTTACAACTAGAAATCTCTCCCTGGAAATGAATGGGATGTGTATGGTACAACAACTGCACAGGAATGCACTCAAAATCATTGCTCCAAAGTTATATTTATTTTTGATGCATTTCTACTAGTGCTATATCAGTGGAATAAACACCAGAACAAGCTTCAATTGTTGCATGAAGTACTAAATACTTACCGAGCTTATACCAGGTAAATTCAAGAGATATCCAAGAACTGGAACTCTTCTAATAAARCCAACCACCACAGGAAAGAAACCCCTTTAGATAAGATATCAGAAGATTATATTAGTTTTTATAATTAAGCTTTTCTCATATTGCTATAACATGAAAAAATAGCAGATAATTTTTAAACCAAGATTACATAAAATTTTGAAACTTGTTAGCAGCATACTTCTTTACCAAATATATCAACATACATTCATCAGAGAAGGGAGAAAACCAGGAAGGAATATACACATTTTGAGATAATTCCTCTTTATATTATAGAAAATACACTCAAGACCCAATGTAAAAACAAGCGAAGTTAGTTCTGCGTAATTAAAATCATGTATGATATTCTTTAACTAAAGAAAATTATGCATGACAGAGTTATGTATTCATTTATTTACCAAATTTAAGTCAGCAGTTTGAATCATGACCCAGGGGATGTTGCCTGGCATAGCTRCTATGGCATAGCCCCTGCACTGTCCACTTAATCTCTGCAGCAGAAAAACAAATTTTCTGCGGCAGTATCTCAGCTGTTTGCAGCCAACTGGTGGCATTCCCAGTGATCTCGTGTTGAGCATTCCCTGCATGGAATAATGATTAACGTGCAATGAGGCCTCAGCCACAGTGGAACAGTGAAATTTCACAAGTCATCACCCTCTTCACCACATTGTTAAGAACTATTTGCTTGGTAATATCAATACCAACAWAGGGGTTTTTTTGAGCTTGGTTTTTTTTAAAGACTGGATCATGTCAGCAGCCCAGTAAATTGCGATGCAGGGCACACAAACTACTTGTAACAGATTAAAACAATTKCTGTACACAAGAATAAGGAAAAGTCAGTACAGGAAGGATAATATTGTCAGCCATAACTCTGCATGCCTATAATCTGAACAAGGCTCCARAAGCAGCTTTGATTACAACAACTGCCCCATAACAGCCAGGGAATTTTTCTGCTAAGCAACCAAGCAGCAGGATCCTGAGGAACCATATAAAATGATGCTTGAGGAAAAAGTTCATTTGTAACTTCAGAAAGGAGCAAGTTACTGACAACACAATGATGGTTGAACTGAACAAGACTGAAGCAAAACAAAAACTTTCTTAAAGTAGTCACTAGTCAACCTTATAGCAAGAGATTTAGATTCTATCAACTATTAAGCACTAGAAAAGATGGTCAAAGATTCATGGAGTCATCAAGGTGGAAAAGACCTTTAAGWTCATTCAGTCCAAACCATTGGTCACCACATGTTTTAAATTAAAACAGGTAAGATAAACATTCATACCTGGAATTAATCATCCCTTGTTGATAGCCTTTAGGCTAAGGGATAGTCCTTAGGGACWACTTTTATAAGCCCCTCAACATTATTTTACCCTGGGAGCCCCAGGCTAGCACCACTAGATAATCCATAACCACACGTGCTTAGACATAGTAATTTACAACTCTTTTGAGATCTTTTGAAAGGAGGGTATTTGTGGAAAACACATTCTACTTGCTTTGTACTGGCTGATTAAACCAAGCACTACATGCAAGAAGTGACAATGTATTCAGTAAAATATTGTGATTATCAAAGCACTCACAATGGCAGCATTCATAGTAACATAGAGTAAAACAGTAAGAAATACATTAAACCCACAAAATTAGTTTTCTGAAAGCTCACTTCTTCAGCAGGAGCCAAGTTCAGATTTGTTTTAAAAAATAAACATTTTATCTAAACTACATACCAGATTAACATACAATTTTATTGAGTATACAAAAAGCTGAGTACAAAAGAGRACAGTGGTTTCTCTTTGATTAACAGGAACAGTATTATTCAGCCATTCACTGAACAATTCAGGGTCTGAAACTCCATCAATAAGCATTAATGAAACAATCTGCATCTGGACAGAAATTCAACTAGAGGGCACCTTTTCTACTTTTTTGCATATTTCTTGCCTTGTTCTGTAGGGATGCATGGAACTTCAACCATGGAAATAAAGATAAAAATGTAGATATCTATGCAGGTTGTAACAAGTCAATTTCTTTCTCTATTACAGTTGCATTTATGAAGAACTTAAATGACACATTGTGAAAGTTACAACAAGTTTGATTGCTGTTAAAAAATAAGACTTTCCATTTTTCCTCAACTCAATCAAGATACTGCTAACCCAAAGCAGCAGTTCTTACTCTAGGGCACAAGTGTAATAAAGCTCAACAAAAAACATCTTTTCCCTGGGCTGCCACAGTGATGCAAGGGTAAGGTTACAAATCTAGCAKGGTGGTACCTAAATATTTTGCCCTGTTTGTTAAAGAAAAGAACAAACTTCCCGCCAAAAAAAGTATCAAGTATCTCCCTTTTCCATAAGGAAATRTTTAAACTTTGCACTRCTAAGAATTTGGGCTTCCACACATTTTGAAGCTTTACAAGTMTTTGGTTAGACAYCAACATTAAYGAAGTCATTTTGGTATGTGCCMCACAAACATTAGCATATTTGAGTCYYRGAAAAATACTTACCAATTTGTAAATAAACCATTTMATATAAAATCTGTCAGAAAGGATCATTTAAAGGATRYTGCTTTGTCAACTTTAACACAGAARCACTACACAAATACATTTATTCYTAGATACAGCAACACAGAAARTTACTTTCAAAGAAGACTTACCTGAATAATAGGAAGAACCCATAAATTTCAAGGATCATTCCTATTAAAGGCCAACCAATGAGAACTATGAGCACACCACCCAGGAAGAATGCCGTTGCTTTCATTTTGTGTTTTTGAAAGAAGAATCTAAATGTTCTTTCTAAACCAATAACAAAAGACAAGCCRGCCACAAATAAAACCTAGAAAAGACAAAAACAAACCAAAGAAAGAAAATAGCTAATTATATTCCYAAGTACAGGATGTAAACACATATACAGGCTCCTTTTCTTGCACAAGTTCTTTTAATACCAAAAGACAGATGGTGAGAATGAATTTAYTGATTTTCTTTTGTAAGGTCCATCTTAAAGCACTTGCAGCTCTCAGCTGCTTAAAAGTAAAGAGTCTATGCTTTGTGGTCTCTGCCGAACACACTCAAAACAAAAGACCTGCTGACAACAGTTATATCTGCCCTGTCACATATTTACAATCTTTACCACAAGTGGTGCTGAAGCTTAGTACCACTGATAGCAAAGGTTCCTAAAAACCAAGAATTCACAAAAAAACCACCTCTGTTCTGCACCACTGACATCYTCAACAGCTTGTACTGATCTACTCATAGTTCAAAGCAAGACAAGGAAAACAGYTGAACAGCATTAGAAGTTGTTTTTTTACTGTGTAGAGCCTTTTTGTGGTTTATTTGTCCCAGTATAGACTGAACACTATCACGCTAGTCTCAACTAGTTAGGATTATTTTTAGCATCTTGCAGCAACAGGTCTGATAATTATTTCAGCTTGTAAGCACACATCTGGGCAACTTTTTTTTTGCTTAGAATGTGATAGCATCTCACATTTTACTCAAGATTGTTTTACACAAGTTTAAGTTTTGTAAAGTATTTAATACATCACTTTGTTAGAACCTCATGCCCTTTCTGATATAACTTTTTTAAAAATAAAAACAGCTCTCTGTAAGAATATAGTACCTTTTCTTGCATTATCTTTGGTTATCACATAGCCTGTCATTATCTCTTTCTACCTATGTTTTCATCATTATCCCTAAACAGGATCTTGTATTTCCGCTTCACATTAGAAAAAGAAAAAATAAGCATTAATTTWTTTTTCACTCTTTCACTGCACACTTGATTTGATGGTTCATAGCAATGTTTCAATTAATGCACCAAAATTCCAATACACAATTTTGTATTTCCCTTCAGTGAATCTCAGCATTTGACTCTGCTGCCATGGAATGAAACTGRTCTGTTTTGATCGCAGACTTCTAGGCATCAACAAAGGAGAGGGTGAACCTCTACCAGGCTGTGCTTTGGCTGGCCAGCAAASCTGAGAACAGCAGAGGCACAGAGATTATCACATGCAGAAAACACCCAGTAATTTTATATTTGGATTGGAAACTTTTGTACCGGAACTAGGATTTATTTCCTGTGCTGCTTTCAGCAAAAACTTCGATTTGGTAAAAGCTGAAGATACTGAATCTCTCTTTTATGAAGGGAGTTTGGCTCTTCTAAACTCAGAATTGCCAGCAATTCATACTTCTTTCTTCCCTCGTACAGCACTGGAAAGTGCAATGCTAGCAAGTACTTATTGATTCTTATCCAAATACATACTTAAAATTGACAGGTCACGAAAAAATCCCATTTGCAGCAACACAACAACTGTGGAACAAGCTGCTTCTTGTCTACCAACAACCCACAGGCCTGACCTGAGATATGATATTCACATCAATGTGAGCTGTTCTAACCTCAGTCAGGAAAAATGATTCACTCCTATCACTGAGCACAACTCCTCCTTTATMCCAAATCACCACAGTAATCTTTGTCATGCAGCTTCAAACTGATAACATACTGTTCTATTCTCAGTTTATTTTTAATAGATCACATACTTGATTGTAAGCAGAAAAGGCACTTACATTTCCAATAGCCAAAAGAGCTTTGTCAAAGAAGAGTATCATTCCAAAGAACAGGAAAAACACTCCAAAGCCTGTTAGTCCCATTCCAATCTCTGAAAAAAAAGCAAATTTAGGCATGTAACAGACCACAGTACCGAGAAAAATCCATGCATAGAAATTGGGAAAAAACTTAGAACATCCAAGCTAAAGAAATTTTAAATTTAAAAACTTCCCTGAGTGTACAAATATCGTAAATCTTGTAGACACCAAACACTTGAATAACAGACAGATCTTTGGGAGCTGCTTATCAAAATAGTCCATATTTGGAACTGAAATTGAATGCAATCAAAAGTAATCATGCGTACATACATATGGCAAAGGCATACAACCCTTTTGATTTACTGCTAGTATGGAGGAAAGGATTGTTTTGTAAAGGGATAATGAAACTTTATTTTCCAGACTAAGTCAGTTGATTAGAGCATGGTACTAACATCAATGTTTGATCCCCATATGGGCCATTCACTGAAGACTTGGACTTGATCTTTGTGGGTCCCTTTCAACTCAGAATACTCTGGGATTTGCTGATCTTATCCCATTATCTTTATCGTAGTAATGTAAGTACCCTGGTCCTCTCCACCTTCCTGAGACCTCACRTCCCACTCCCCCCAGTTTCTGGATGGAACACAATTTGGATGAATCCTGCAGGATTTTTCCAAGTTACAAATGTGTTGACAGCTATGAAACACTAGCCTGGGTCTCCAGGCTTCAAAGAACTAGTAGACACTAAATATTGAGGGATTAATGTTCAATTATATTTTTCATGCTTCATACTTCATTTTCRTAATTGTTAGACTTACATTACACATCGATACAATATCTCTAGACTGCTAGTGTTGCACAGCAGTTTCATCTTATGAAATTTTTCATTTTATGATCTTAATTTGCACATTTTTTAATACCTTTTGTACTTAATATATTTGATTATATTGTGGACTGGGCAGAGCTGGGTTAACAGTTGAACTTAATGCTCTTAAAAGTTTTTTTTCCAACTTAAACAATTCTATAAACTTGGAGTTCTGCAAAGGATGCTCAAGAAACACCACGAAGGCAAGAGTAGGATGGARGGTTTGTGTGAGAAACCTGGCTAGAAATGTCAAGCTATGATTAAAGCTACCATTTGACAAYAGCCTTTAAAGTATCTTGAAGACTGCTCTTAGAAATACATTCTGCTTTTGATTTTAAATCTCTAATGTCTTCCTTTGACTCTCGARCAGACTGAATGGGAGAGAAAAACTGGGAATAGCAGCAACATGGCTGTGAAAATACCTGCATTTATTACTGCTTTCCCTGTGACCAGAGAATTTAGAAACCCATAGGATACAAAAACAGCTCAGCAAAACCAGCCCTAATACTATGGACAGGCTGCTGTGCATTTTGAAGTTCCAAGTAGTTTTCCATAGCCTGTCCGGAAACAAACAAAAAGCCACACCCACAATCACAGYCTTCACTGCTACTGTTGGCCAAATCCACCTAAATATATTTTAATTGTACTGCAATGTAGATGCAGTTGTCATTTGCTCTTGCTTGATCAGCTTGGGAGTAAAGGATAATTCTGCTTGTTTCAGGACTTACATTTAGTTCTGGAAATAAATTTCAAARCAGCTCAAAGAGATTTGTTACAGCAACATTCCACTCTGCAAACTTCTGTAAGGGCTTGGCTTTCAGCAAGCTGCAGAGCACATGGTGTTAAGAGCTGTAGTAGTTCTGTAGTACTGCCTGCCACTTTAAACTGTCACAATGAGTATTTTAACACCCCACAATTAAAACCACTAAGTAACCTAATACAATCAATTTACTACAGSCACTCTGTACTTGTTTACAATTAAAAACAGAATTGCAAATTGTATTTTCAATGGATCTGCTGAMTGAAGGCAATATAACAATTGCAACTGCCCTTTTCTCCAGTACACTTTACTTCAGAAGAGCAGAAACAATCTGTATTCTGGAAGGAAAACACTTGGAGGCAGGACTCCAGAGGAATTACCAGCTGCCAGCAAGATAAATATGCAGTCATGGGAAGTGAGTATTCACTCMTCCTGCAGGAACAGCACAAGGTATAGATTTGGCAAGGAGGCAGAGGCCAACTCCCAACAGCTGCTGCAATCACCACTCTGACACTTCTCTAATCACCCGAAACGTGTTTGTAATCAYTTCTGCCACAATGGATTCTGATTCACTTCAGAAGTCACCCATATTCTCTGCTTAGTGAAGGGAAAAAAGAGAAGGGAACGTTATTCTCATTATTCCAAAATAACTGCAAGAAGAAGATGAATGGTCCAGGACTAATATTCTCTGGTGCTGCTGTCTCAGTAGAAGGTGTGACTGACTTGATTCATATCAGAATCTGGAAATATATTTTAACTACTGTTCTCAGAGGAAGGAAAAGAAAAAGTGCTGGCATTTTGTATAAAATCTTTTCAACAACAAACTATGAATATTTATAGAGGGAACAAACTATTTTTAAATTCTTTCTCCTGCRCCAGAAAAGCTTTCCCACATTAGTYTAATACAACATATCAATGCCTAGAAATGCAGAAACACACATTAGACAGGTTGCATTTATTCTAAATTATTATGATTTTCTGAGACAAGGGAGCAAAGTTTCATCACTTTCTCCAGAAACTCCATAAGCTGTGCAAGACTACTGCAGCACTGTGTCAGAGTGCTCAGTCAGCTTAGAATATATTAAAATTCAAAATTAAGACACATTGCTTGTTAAAGATTAGGGTAGACAATTCACATCCCCTGTCTTTTATATTGCACTGCATAGTGCAAAATAAAATGGAATTGTCCACTATGGACTCTAAGAAGACAAAAACTAATACAGTTTATATTCAATGTATAACTATTGTTTTGCTAGCAGTAATTTTTAGTATTGAACACTTAATTTGGGAAAAGCTAAGTGCATTCTTTTGCAATTACTGGTGGTTCACAACATAATTCAATGCACCACTTAAAAATTATGTTCTAGACCACAGATGCAAAATTAACTTTCCAAACATCAATCAATGCAGTGGCTCTCTCCAGGTATTTATCACACTACTCCACCAGTGACTCTATGGCTAACACTGTATTTTTCCAGACAGCAGTGAGTTTCAAAACATCTAATGAACTATCTTTAGAATTTCAGAAAAACTGAAAAAAAAACCAAAACAAAACCCTTAAAATCCCTAAATGTCACAGTATTTTGTTTAYTACTCCTCTCTCTGACAGTCTTAGCATTGGAAACAGATAAAGGTTCCAAATGAGGAACCTAAGGAAAAGAAAAACAGTGAATCTCTTTCTGAAGAGATTTTTCATTTTTGTCCAGTGAATACTCCAGACAGGAAGTTAAGGAAATGGCAATAGAAAAGCCCACAAAGGTTTAATCATTCAGAAATCAAAAATTAACCCCAAGGGTTAGTACTCATCCCATTAACAGCATAATATGTGAATATCTCAAGAAACCATTGATGCTGAATGCTGCTAAACTTTACTGCCTGTCTTCATCCTTGGATTCAATACCTCCRTTTCCAGTATCCTGCTATCAAACCTAGTTATTTTAACGTTTTTTCTACATTTTTCACACCCTCCTTCATAACTGATGCTGTGGTGCTTATCAGGCAGACGTGTTTCCTTCTGCAGCAATCATCCCAGAAATGCATCATACATGAGATGGTAATTTAAATCAAAGCCCTAACGATGTCCTTTACCTTGCAGCTTAAGCTGTTATCACAGAATCACAATTGTTAGGGCTGGAAGGGGCCTCTGGAGATATCACAGTCCAAACACTCTGCCAAAGCAGATGACACAGGAGTGTGTCCGGGTGRGTTTGGAATGTCTCCAGAGAGAGAGAGACTCCATGCTTTCCTTGGACATCTGTTGCAGGGTTCTGCCACCCTCAATGGAAAGAAGTTCTTCCTCATCTTGAGGTGGAACTTCTGTCTTTTAATTTATGGCTGTCGTTCTATGTCCTGTTGATGGGTACCACTTAAAAAAGTCAAGCAYCGTCCTCTCTGCACTCATTTGAGATATTTATACGCATCAAAAAGATCACCTTTCAGTCTTTTCCAGACTGAACAGGCCCAGCTCTCACAGTGCCAACAGAGATGCTCCCCATCGTTTTTGTTCCCCTCCGCAGGACCCTCTCCAGKMSCTCCTTGTCTTTCCTGTACTGGGGAGTGCAGAACTGGGCACAGCGCTCCCGATGTGGCCTCACTGGGGCAGAGTAGAGGGGAAGATCACCTCCCYTGACCTGCTGGCCACACTTYCCAATGCAYYCCAGGATACCATTGCCCCTYCGGGCTGCAAGGACACACTAATGAACTTCTTTGATTTTTTTGATCTCTATTTCTAAGTACTTCAGTAAACAAAACTATGACCCCATACAAGTATTTTTACTTTTTTTCACTTCAGTGTCTTAGCCACATCTTCAAGTTCCCCCARGCATCACCTGCAGACGTTTGGTGCGGTACCAGCAAGAGCAGGACAGTAAAGCCACTTACACATAAGTAAGTGGTTCCAGACCACTAATGTCCACACGGGAAAGTCGAGCTAAGTGTTACTCTATTTACTGTTCAGCTTTCTTTCATTCATTCATTCATAGCGATCAGTCAAAGCGTAATGGATACAAACCCACAGAGGGTCTAGGTTAGATGTTAGAAAGAAATTCTTTCCTGTGAGAGTGGCCAGGCACTGGCCATCTAGCCGTGGTACGGGGTTGGAACAAGATGATCTGTAAGGTCCCTTGYAACCCAGGCCRTTCTGTGATTCCGCCACAGCACAGCACAGCACACCRAGCGCTCGCAGCCCCGGACAAACGCCGGCCGCGCTGGGGACAGAGCGAAGGACCCTGCCGAGCGCYTCCCTGTCGCTCTCCATCCCACCTCCCTTTCCGTGCTCCCCGCCAGCTCACTGCTGTCGCACAGGGCCGCCGCGGCTCCCACTGAGGGGATGCGGCCATGCGAGCTCCCCTCGCCGCTGTCCGCTCCCACCCCCCGCCGGCTCCAGCCGGTCTCCAGCCGGTCTCCAGGGGCCCAACCGGACCGTGCTCGGCCGCTCCTGGGAGCCCCCGCCGCCAACAAACGGGGCGGGCCCGACCGCTCCGGGACCGCCGGGCCCCCGACGCCCCCAGCCCCGCCACCAGCGGCCCCTGCCCGCCCGGCCGGCCCCCGGGAGCGGCGGCAGCGCTTACTCTGCGTGTCGGACAGGGAGATCATGGTGGCGGCGGGGCGGCAGCGACAGCGGGACCGRGGGGAGCGCAGCGGCACCGGCGGGAGCGGCGGCGGCCACGTCTTCCGGAAACACGCACCCGCCGGATGAGAGGCGCCCGCCGATTGGGGGAACCCGCCGCCAATCAGCAGCCGCCTTGTATCGCCGCGCGACCGGCGCTGATTGGCGGAGGGGCGGCGCTCGCGCCCAGGCCCGCTCGGCAGTGGCTGAGGGCGGGCGGAAGGGGCGGGGCCGGCGCGCGGCGCAGGTGGGAGCCGGGGCGCGGGATGAGGGATGAGGGAAAAGGGATAAAGGATAAACGATAAAGGATAAACGATAAACGGCGCGGGAGTGCGGCTGGCCCTGACCCGGGGGGTGGCTCCGGGAGGCGGCGGCCCGAGCCAAGGCTCCGCTCGCCGTACGGGAGGACGGGGCAGTGAGGCGTGGTGGCGTCCTGCTTCGTCTGCCCGGCCCTGGCAGCCTTTGTTCCTTCCTCTTATCCATCCTGCTCYGTCCTGCATCCACCGAACAACTGCMTCCCCGYCTGCTCCCGGCAGCCTCCCGCCGTCCCTCCCCGTTCTGCCCTGCRCTCCCCGAGCATACGCTTCTCTGCTTCTCCCGGCAGTTTCCTTCCCTTCCTCCATCCCACCCCGCTCCATSCTGCATCTGCCGAGCAGGGGYTTCCCTGCTGCCCGTCGYAGCCTTCATCCATCCATCCCTCAGTCCCACCCCGTCCTGCAGCCCCGCCGAGTAGGTGCTTCCCTGCCTGGAAAGCGCCGTGCCCGCGGCTGGCGTGTGGGTGAGGAATGCTGAGAAWATCCTACTGTATATGTTCACTATATCTATTTGTATATGTGTTCAGTGTAATATTCACACTATATGCGTGTAAATATTCCCACACTGGAGTAGGTTGCCCATCCCTAGAGGTGATWAGAGGCGTCGAGATCTGGCCCTGGGTGATGTGGAAGTGTTCTATATGCAGATTTTTTTAATATATACTTCCTTCTCCATTTATAGGAGATGGGAGAGTCTTTTTTTTGTGGTGGAATCAGCTGATAGTGAGGMTTTCCTGAATTTATTCCTTTTCACCTTCCATTGGATTTGGCTTCCAWCTATGTAATAAATAGTCCAGAATTCAATATCAGAAAGAAAATGTCAAGTTTCTTGAGTTTGGTATTGTTGACATATAATCTGATGAAGATTGTTAAAAAAATGTGCCAATAAATAGAATTCTATGTTTATTTCACTGATAATCTATTTAAAATGCATCCCTTTTCTCTGAACCAAACTATGTTTTTGCTTCCTCCTGACAAATCCTCTTGGTCTTAGGGTGGCTGCTTTTCTAAGGGGCACAATATAATGTGTTCAGACTCTTCTGTAAAAGTAGTCTTTGAAGRGATAAAAGGCAGTGGATGCTTGGTGAGTGACAGGTCTATGTTAGAGCATTCTTCTTGCAGGAAATCTATGACTTGGGCACAATTCACTTGGATTCATACAGAAGCCTCATGAGCTGTGGCCTCGGGACTTGGTTGTGAATTTGTCTGTTCCTTTTGCAGAAGGGAAAAAGCAGTTGTCATCTAGTGGGTCTTACTTATATAAGCAAATAAAATTAACAAGTACTTAAACTGTTACATTTACAGCTCTGTTAATGAAGAATTTCTGCAGTAAATTTGTTTTAAGTTGAGAAGGTTTATGTATAAAATATATTACAAAATGWATTTATTTAATTTTCTTTTTAGTGACACTCGCTGGGTTAAATAMGATCTCTTAAGGATAATATTCTTAATCTCCAAAGATGACAGCTGTTGCAGGTAATCCACTATTAGTATTCTGTATGTTCMTTTTGCTGTCTTTTAGCTAACAGGTACAATCGCCTGATGTTACTGATTGTTGTTTATAGGTATTTAATGTATGCAGAAAATAGTTTGTGAGGTCTGTGCTATTATACTTATGATTTGAAGAAGAAAATTCTTTTACTGGATAACTTTTTATTAGGGGAAACAAAACCAAAATTGCCCATCCCTGGAAGTGTTTGAGGCCAKGTTGGATGGGGCTGTGAGCAGCCTGTTGTAGTGGAAGCTGTCCTGCCTGTGGCAGGAGGTTTGGAACTGCATGGGTTTTGAGGTCCYTTCCAACCCAAGCCATTGTYTGATGAAAATCAGTTTTGTCAAGGAAATTACGTAGTTTCAATATTTTGAGAATGTGCTTCATRTTTTAAGATATTCTTAACTCTTCTGCTAAGTAGCAGTGGGCATTTAGAAAGACAAATGTTACCATTTTGTGCCATTTGAAATGAGGATATTTTTTCCATATCAAACATTTTTGTTTCCATAACCATATTATCATACCTGCTTGGATCAAAATACCTTGGGTTTTTTGGGTGTGGGGAAGAAGTAATTTCTTCTTAGGCTTTGCTGACCTGTCTCTGAAATAGTGATACATGCCTGGCATGTAGGTGTATGTGTTCTTTTAAACTCTTGGGATTGGATTCTAGAACACAGTCTGCAATTCACAGTCTGCAATGCATATTAGGATGGAGAGAGCCAAATTGCTGCCAAGGATTCACTTGTGCAACCCAAGCTTTCGGGGAGTATTTGCTTCACTTTTTTTCACATGTGAAGAATGGCTTGTGTTTGTAACTGCAATTTCCCACTATATCCTAACTTTGTTGTTTAGCAGATTCTCTTGTTCTCTGTAGGAGGGAGATCTTGGTTCATGAATTGCAGCTTTTTGCTAATGGCCCTATTTTCAGCTCCAGAAGAATTTAGCTTACCGAGGTTAAGATTGCTTCTCACATGTAATAAATGCTTTCTATCAACTTCTCGTGCTTACATTGGGGTTGGCTGGGGTACAATTAATACAATTAATACCGGCATCAGCACATGACTGTAGTCTCTRTTGTGCTTTCTCCTTGCTTTTCCCTGCAGTGCTAGAGGAAGCACTGGAGTCTGTTGAGAATGAGCTTCAAGCAGTGGAGATACAGATACAGGAGCTTGTGGATAAGCAGCAGGAACTCCTTCAAAAGAAGATGAGAATAAAGAACCTGATAAAACAGTCCTCAGGAGACTTGGAGGCAGGTGCAAGTAAAGATGGTGAAACCTCAGCTGAGGAATGGAACAAAAAAGGTTTGCAGACTCAAATTCTAATATTTTAACAGAAAGGTGGACTAATTTGGTAGGGGAAAATGCACTTATGCAGAGTTTTGTTTGGATAATGATATCGTCCTATTTAATTTTCATCAGCTGGCTGACATGCCAGGGTAATGGGGTAATGTTTGTACTTGTCTCACTGGACATTCCYAAACACTAATCTTGAGTTCTGGGCAGAATTATCTGTACTACCAGAATGGACTATTGTAGCTGTTTTAATTCTTTGCTTGTTGCAAATTCTCGATTTGATTTGCTCTTAAAATCCCGGAGTAAGGTTTTGTTGCAATACTTGTATCCTAAATACTTAAACTATATTGCAATATGTATCATTGTTGTGTTCTAAAATTAATTCCTCTGAATGTTCTCGGGATTTGATAATGATAATTTTGCACTTAGAGTTGTTTCTTCCTGGTGTTTCCTTTTGCTTGAATGGGTAGGACATTGGCGGTATTTGTGATTGGTTATGTAGCTTCACTGTCTTACCAAATTAATGCAAATTAGATGGATGCTGACTGCCAAAAATAACGTAGAATACATTATTATGGTAGAATTGGTGCAAAAGACAAGTGCTTCGTGGTGGTGTGAGGGTTGCTATCTTTCAAGGTTACCATTAACTGAAGTCCTGGATAGTTGGTTCTTGGTTATGTTATGCCTTGCCAAATTTGACTTAGATATTTTAATTATTTTTTTCCTTCTTTTGAATTTAATTTCCAATTTGGAGATGCCTATAACTATTGTATGTAAACCGTTTTTGGGCTTTTTAAAAAATGAAATTAATGTTGTAGTTGAATCCATATTTATCTGTGTTTGAAGAGAATTATACACATATAAGAATACTGATACTTTATCATTGCAAATTATGCTACTGAGCAAATAATTTGGTTTGTTTTGTGCCTAATTCGTTCCTCCTGTGCTTTGGAAATTAACATCTTTATGATCAGATGCTGTGTATGTGTTGAACAAGAGCAGGATCTAAATTTGTTCCTAGTATAAAACTCACGGAAGTCAGTGGGAGGCTTTTCTTGGATTCAGAGAGCCCTGGATTTTGACCGTGCTCTTAGTAAATTTCTTAGCAATGTCACTTCAAGTCCTAAAGTTAATTCTTGCATTGCATGTGATGTAACCTGGCTCTCACATTTTTTCTGCATTTTAATTTTAATRGTACCAAAAAGATGCATCAGGAAGTATATTAATCAGCAATGTAAGTTTTTGCAGTATTATCTCTTTAAAAAATGCTGTCTTTAGCTCTTTACTGGAAAAAAGAAAAACCTATTTATAAGCATGTTAGGGTGTTGATTTTTGGGAAGATTAAACAACTTTCCTCCCTCCTTTTTTTTTTTTWWAAAAAAAAGCTTATTATTGATAGATTATATGGAAAAACTGTATCTCTACTTCATTATACTATTTGTAACTGCTGCATTTGTGTGGGGGAAGCATTTTAGTAACTATTGTAGGGATCAGTGCCTGGTTTTACTTATTTTCAGGGTGGGCTTCTAATTCCTGTTTAATTTTGGACTAATGAGGTACCATTATCATTAGCCCTCTGAAGTTCAGCTGTTTTGAATTTTTCACATGGGTTTACATCCATGTGCAATGAGAACTTTGGTCTGGGCGTGAACTGTGTTTACAATTTACTGAGTTTTCGAATGTCCACCCTAGAAAATGGCTTATGGAGACTCAGGTTGTGTGGAGCTTTTTTTGTGCCATTATTGAATCTTTAAACACTTTCCCAGATCTAAAATTGTGTTGCTGGCAGATTTAGTTATTGAATATGTAAATTACTCCTCCTTCTTATATTTTAATTTGCTTATGAAATGTGTTTGTTGAGTTGTTTTTTCCCTTAACAGATTTTCCATGGTATGAGAAGATAAAGACTGCACTGCAGAGCAAATTTAAACTCCAGAAGTTTAGATCACTGCAACTTGAAACAGTAAATGCTGCAATGGCAGGAAAGGATATATTTCTTGTCATGCCTACAGGTGGTGGAAAGAGCCTTTGCTATCAGTTACCAGCTGTCTGTTCTGATGGTATGTAAGGGGGGGAAATAAAGGACATAATATAAAGAGTTAGATTTTTTTTCTCCCCTTTATAGTTATTTGAAGAATGGACATTATTTGGTGTGGTTTTTGTTTGGATAATTTGGTTTTGTTTGTTTCTTTTTTAAATAACTCATCCAATTTCATTGGAAGTTTACTTGTTTACAAATGTCAAATTTACCTCTACATGCCACTGCTTAGTTCTGTGGTAAATCAGCACCTCATGACATAGATATCCAACTTACTTTGTTTYGTATATTAATTTTTGTACTCTCTGTTAGGCTCAGTTGTTTGTGGTCTGGATCCTTAGAGGAGGTGCATGTCATGGACATTTAATAAGAATTGTCCCTATGTGATCTGGCACTCACTTGTCAGCTGCCACGGAGGGGAATCTGCTGCTGTTACGAACCTTAAGCTTACATTTGTCAGTTTCTTCAGAGCAGGGCTGATGCATCAGTAAAAAGAATTAGACGAGATATTTGTGACATCTGAACTGCTCAGTTTGCACAATGATTGATAATTACAGGTTTTACACTGGTGATATGTCCTTTGATATCTCTCATGGAAGATCAGCTCATGGTTTTGGAACAGCTTGGCATTTCTGCAGCTTTATTAAATGCCTCAAGCAGSAAGGTATGTTTATGTTATGTGTTTTGTGGTGCAGCTGCTTGTGTCTCCTATCTGTGTAGTTACTTGTGACTGTTGAATGAATGACACAGATTTATCAGCTATTGCTGTTTTATCAACAGTATCTGGTCAAGAGGKTACTGTGATATGGGTAAGGGGGTTACATATCTTGTGTTTATATTTTAGTGACACCAACACCTTCAGTGGAATAAAGTAGATTTCTTGGGGCTGTTTAGAAGATGTGAAGTACCTTTGGCTGGTGTGTGTTGTAAATTCTTACTCAGTTTCTAGACTTGGAGAGGTGATTTTGGTCCACTACTAGCAAGTTTAGCAGTGTAGGSTTTTACATATAATTATTTATCTTACAGTAGGGTGGTGAGCTGTTTGATCCAGAGGCCCAAGAAGCAACTTATTTCCCTGTGTTTTACTAGACAATTTTTTTGCAGTTATTTTCCTGGCTAGCAGGAGGCCATGATCATTACTTGCATGTGACAGTGGATTTGATAAGTCAGTGGCATGATGCAATCTGCAAAATTTGAWAACTGCTTTGATGCAGAACGCTCTGAAAACTCAGTAATAAAAACCACTGTTGTGTGCAAGGAATTATTTTACACTTGCAGTATCCCAGGCATTTTTGGTACATCATAATTTATCAAGAAAATACTGATACCACACGATGAAGCAAAGACATATATTCAACACTTTGCTTCTTCAAAGTTCCATCACATATTTTCCAGATGTTAAAATGACCRTTTTATATATAAAGATCTACAAAGGCTATCGTGGTTAATACTGTGAAACAGTTTATCAGTCTCTGTTAATTACACCTTATGAATTGSTAATCACTTCTTAAGAGGCTTAGCACTAGGCAACTTCAGTGTGTTGTCCCACTTTGTTACCTGCTGCTGTCTGRCTTTGTTTTGAACAGGAACATGTTAAGTGGGTCCACACAGAAATGTTGAACAGGAATTCACAGCTGAAGCTCATTTATGTGACCCCAGAGAAGATTGCAAAGAGCAAAATGTTCATGTCCAAACTGGAGAAGGCTTATCAATCTGGGTGCCTGGCTCGYATTGCTGTGGATGAGGTGCACTGCTGCAGTCAGTGGGGCCACGACTTCAGGCCTGGTATGCTCCTCAGAATCCCCTTTGCAGGGTTGTTCAGGCATCAGTGAATAATGAGTTGGGTCTGAAATAAGGCCAGCTGCTTCCTTCATGTCTTAATTAAATTCTTAATGTGTGACAAGTACCTGTGTTAGCTCAAGTACTTTAATTCACAAATTGTTCAGGAGCTACGTTCATGCAAATGATGATTTCAACATAGATTTTGCTGTCAGTATTCTGAAAAATGCCTTATTCTGTTTACTTTAATTGGAGCTTCATAAAATKGAAGGTTTTGCTGGCGCATTTGGACAACAGTTACCTGTAATCTACTGCTACATAAGTGTTCTGTAAATTACTCCCTGGCACTTCTGGTGAAAGAGGTAGACCATTTTTTAAATTCATGAGATATATTCTAATAATCTCTAAAGCAAGTGGAAACAAATGCCCTTTGCTTACAGGGAAAGAAAGTGTGATTCAGCCATTTTCCAATCTTGAATGTTGTAGAATATTGTTGATTACTGTTTCCTTGTCTTTGAAAGAAAACCTGATCTGTAAGGCAGTATTAATTATTAAGTCAGCCTTAGCAGTTCTGCTRAAAAGAGGTGCCTTAGCCAAGAGCCAGGCCAGTTCAACAGGCATGAGGAATTTGGATACGTACCTCTGCATTTCTGTTCTAATGTAGCAGTTGATTGTCAGYGCTCGGCCTTTAAAATTTTTCATTATTGCAGTCTGGTCTATRTATCCATATTCCACATTGAGTGTTTATTAGCAAAGCTCTGTTTACTCAAAAGCTRTTTGTTAAAACAGACCTGCAAAATAACCTGAATGCTGGTTAACACAATGTCACACATTTTTCTAATTTTCTAAAAATTTCTATTTTCATATATTCTTGCCTTCTGAATTGTGCCTGATAATTGCAGCCTTCCAGTACCTGGCGGGAGCCTGAAAGGAAACTGGGGAGGGACATTTTACAAGACTCTGGAATGACAGGCCAGGGGAATGGCTTCACACTTGAGAGTAGGTTTAGATTGGATATTAGGAATAAATTCTTTACTGTGAGGATGGCRAGGCACTGGAACAGTTGCTYAGAGAAGTCATGGATGCCCTATCCCTGGAGGTGTTCAAGGCAAGATTGGATGGGGCTCTGAGCAACCTGGGACAGTGGGAGGTGTCCCTGCCCATGGCAAGGGGTTGGAATGAGTTGGTCTTTAAGSTCTCTTCYAACCCAAGTGATTCTGTGATTTGCTTCTTTAAATTCAATTAGAAGACATCTCTTCTGATAAGTGCAACCTGCTTTGTTACTTCATTTGGATGTATAAATTAGTTCAGTAGTAGATTATAAGTAATAACATTTATTGTAGTATTACCCCATCAAATACTGTCTACATGAATGCCTTTTTAAAGTTTGCATTTGTGATATGAGAAATCTTTCTTTCTTTCCCCTTTTTATTTTCTTAGACTACAAGTCTCTTGGTATCTTGAAAAGACAGTTTCCCAATACTCCCTTGATTGGATTGACAGCAACAGCAACCAATCATGTTTTAAAGGATGCCCAGAACATTTTGCATGTTCAGAAGTGCATTACCTTTACTGCTTCCTTCAACCGGCCCAACCTTTACTATGAGGTAGGTCTTATTACCTTTTGTTGGGCTCTAATGCTGTTATGCTGTGTCCTTCAAGGAGACAGGCAGACAGCAAGCTCAGACTGCTTCAGCCTGCTGGAAAATATATCCTATGATGGCAAAAAGGTTGTGAATTATTTCACTTGGGTCACAGGTTCTTTTATTGTTCTTTGTGGGGAAAGCTTGTGGGTTTGTTTTGGGGTTTATTTTTCTATAGACTTTTGAGTTATAATCTGACTGTTCATAAAGAGAATACGGTATGTTTTTTTTTTTTTTTAAGGACAGATTATTTGTGTTTATACTGGAAAAACTAGAATAATAATGTAAAAGGTAGAATAGTAAGACTTTGACAGATCATTTGCCCACTTGAACTCTGACATGTACATAATTTTTTTTTTGAGGTTCGGCATAAGCCTTCAAATAATGAAGATTTCATTGAGGACATAGTTAAGACCATTAATGGAAGATACAAAGGACTCTCAGGTAAACAGTGTAAAAAGGCAGAGGTTACTTTTCATAACCTTCAGCATTACAAGGCTGTTGGGATGTTTTCAAGTGATCTTGAAGRATGTAGAGAAATTCTGCCTTCACCATACATTAAACATCCAGCATTACAATAAAAGAAATTTACTAAGATTCTTACCTTGATTAATTTCTCTCTTCCTTGGTATTTAAATGTMATTACTACTTATTTGTATCTTCTGAAGTATTGAACTGGAATGTTGATGTCTATAGAACAATGTTTACATCAATAATGATATGAAGTTTAAAGATTGTAAAAGCAAGGCTCAGAAAAGGTTGTCTGTSTTCTTAAATCACACATTAAGGGTGTGAATTGCAGATAAAAGCAGAACTGTAAAAGTTGGACTTGTGTAATCAACGAATTGTGGTAATGTAATCAATGAATGTAGTGGAAATAAAGGGGAGAGACATCTTGCCAAGGCAGCAGAACCCAGGYTTCCGGAGCAGCAGTCTGTCCCTGTCTCTGCTTGGAGATCTATGGCTGTGAGGAGCAGCTCCCWGAATACAAACTGTGCTAAGATGATCACAAATCACATGGCTTTGTGTGTAATCCCTGATTTAGCCCAGCCTAGCTAATGACAAAAAGYAGATTTAACTGAAACCTCAGGTAAAATGTCCTTATGACCATAGATGTTGGAGGGAATAGCACCCATTAAACTAAGCTTTAATAAGCATTGTCCTCCTTGARCATTAATACAATACTTTCATGATTATATGGACTGGCACCTGTATTTCCCTTTTGGCCTTCAGATCCAAGCTGATAATTGAAGTTTCCTTCATGAACATCAATACTATGGACTAAATAGGCACAAAGACTGTGTAATGATTTTTAATTATTTATTTTATGTGTTAATAAAACTTTCACAATTTTTTTAAGTATTATTTTTAAGTATTTGGTCTTTTTAAGGCATTACAATGAGGCCTCTTTTAYTTTTATGCAGGAATTGTTTACTGTTTTTCTCAGAAGGATTCCGAGCAAGTTACTGTGAGTTTGCAGAAACTGGGAATCAAGGCAGGGACTTACCATGCAAACATGGATGCTAAACATAAAACCAAAGTTCATAAAGGATGGGCAACAAATCAAATCCAGGTTAAGTAAATACTTTTCATGGACTTACATCTCAAAATTGTGGTTTGGTACCTGGATGATTTCTTAATATTTTTCTTTTTTCCAGGTTGTAGTGGCAACTGTTGCTTTTGGCATGGGAATTGATAAACCTGATGTGAGGTTTGTAATTCATCACTCTATGAGCAAGTCCATGGAAAACTACTACCAAGAGAGTGGACGTGCAGGTATTGTAGRAAGTGGCTTTTGCAAAGTTGCCATTTACATCCATGAAACCAATAAACTAATAAAACTGCTTGAGTTTTCCAGGCATTTGTGCAAAATTTCTTGCCTTTGAGACAGGTTTCAAAGGGTATAAACAACCTGCCTCTGTAAAGAGGCTTTACATATAAACTGCATTCGTGACCAGGCCTCTACTGCAGTGCAACAAAGAATAACTGGGTACCTAGACCTCCACTCAGCATTTTTTTAATTACTTGATWTCTATGACATCTGTGGCTTATCAGAACAACATGACATGGATTTGATACACGATTTGTAATTTTTGTGTTTTGTATATCAACTGGGATGTATGATTGTCTCTAGATAATGTTTAATCACTGTGTGAATTTCAAAAATACAAATAGGATGGGAAGTCTGGAGCAGGGAATTTWAAGAATAGATCAGTGATAGCAGCACTGAATACCTGTTACGGCCAATTTCTGCCCGCCCCCCCAAATGTTTTGTGGTGTTTTGTTTTTTTCCTCTTATGCATCCCGTTAATTTTTCAAAGGCTTATTTGAATCTATGTGGAGTAAAGCTTTTCAAGGAACTTGAGGGGCAATTGGTTGAAATTTTAATTTTCTGTTCATTTTAATGAATTGCAGGTAGAGATGACCAAAAAGCTGACTGCATTTTGTATTATGGGTTTGGAGATATATTCAGAATCAGCTCAATGGTAGTGATGGAAAATGTTGGCCAAGAGAAGTTGTATGATATGGTATCATATTGCCAAAATATGAACAAGTAAGTTACTGTGGTGACTTGGTTGTTTAGTTTATAAACAGGCTAATTTTGCTGGGGTATTTGGAGTGCATTTGAAAAAGAAAACAAAACAAAAGAAAACAAAACAAAACCAAAACTCATCACCTAACAAAACCACCCACAGAAACAGGAACAAGCTTGCCAGTATACAATTCTGGAAGTGGTTATGTTGAGGTGARGTATCTGTCAGCAAACACTGTTTAAATTTCAAAATCCCAGTCAGAGGTCAAACTGTAATGCTTTGGTTTTGATTCTAAGCTTCAGTGTTCAATGGCCACCTGTTTAATTCTTCACCTGCTCCACTGAGCTATGTGGAMTACTTCATGGAAAACACTTGTGTGTGTGTTGTGGACAACTGGTGCACCCAGGAAAGCCTTTGTTGGCCTCAGGGTAACAATGAGTTCATATTCTAACAATTTTTCATTCTCTTGAAATTGCAGATTATACTTTTCTGCTTCAACCAAACTGTTCATACAGCAGTGTTTAATTATTATTCCTCTTGGCATAGCTGATAGGGAATACTGGTATTGCACTACTTGTTTTCTGATTTTTCCTGTAATAATTCTTCATGCTTGTTTTGAGATCTGAGCTGTCCCAGGGACTTTTTTTTGCCATTTTCATGCTGTACAACACAAGTGTTAGCTATTCAGTTGGATTCTATAGCCCTTCTCTGCTCTCTGCTCTTCAGGTGTCGCCGGGTGCTCATAGCCCATCACTTTGATGAAGTCTGGGATTCAGCAAACTGCAACAAAATGTGTGATAACTGCTGTAGAGAGAATGGTAGGTAAAGGACAAAGACCATGGAAAAAAGTTGGTCTAAAGAAATACCTGGTATAGAAAAGCTATAAGCAAATTCTGTGACCTGTGCTTGTATTACTGCCTGCTTTCAAGGTACAGATTTTGTTATGAATATCAGTTTTTGGTGGCCTATTGTTGCCAAGATCAGGGTGTGTAGCAGGATTTTTCCTAGTGTGGCTTTTTGCCTGAAGTTGGACACTTTGGTATTTTTTAGGCTCAGCTGTTCACCTGTTCCCGAAAGGGAACCTCAGGCAAGGGGGAGATTGGCTTACCTGTTTTAAAAGGGTTCTGGTATGTGTCAGGTTTTGTTTCAGGATTTGTTTGGGTGTGAAAGCTTTGTTGAGAAGGAGGCCCTGCATACCAGGTTGTTCACACTTAGGCTCTGAGAAGGTACAGCTTGCACATCCTCTCACAATTTGCATGGGAAAATCCCCGAGGATTTCAGTGCTGTGTGCTCACAAGATGTCCCTAGGTCAGGACTGTGCATAACAACTGAGGACTCCAAGGTTTTGGTGTGATTTTTGGTACCCATCAGGAAGCTGAAAGACTCAGAAGTTATGAACAAAGCATCTGTTGCTGCACTTAAAGAGTGAGTGCTGTGACTTAAATGTAGGAAACCCCATAGAAAGCAAGAAAGATCTGAAAGAACTGAGAGAAGGTTGGTCTTGGGCATCTCTAACTGGACATAAAATCACCTTAAATCTTATTGAGCACCATCTGGGTGAATTCTTGGAATATRTGGAAAATACCATCTTCTTCTACCACATATCTGTTGCAAAAAGCATTTGGATAATATAGAAACCAACTTGAAAAAACTTAGGAACAAGTCTGCATTAAAAGCTCTTCTCTAAAYTAGACTTTACTTCCCTCTATTTTTTAGGGGTGTAAAGCAGACAAACCAAAATTTGACTTTTTTTTTTTTCATTATACAGTTAATTATGTAATAAAAGTCTTGCAAAATCTTGTAAGTAACAATGTTTTATCATGTCCTAATTAGAAATGGGTCTTAGCTGAAATTTATGCTGGGATCAGAGGTTGGGAAGAGTATGGAGCTGGCTTGCCCCAAAGGCTTGCAGGAGCCGTGTGATGAAATAAAGTTGAAATATATCCTRTTTACTGCTGCTTCTCCTCCAGGGCCTTTGGATGCTTAAGCAAGCTCTAAGGAAACTTAGAAGTAGTACTTGGTTYTCAGTACTTAATTATTAGTGTTAAAGGAGGCAATTGGGGTAACTCTGTGCCATGTTCTGATTGTRGAGTAGAAGGATTATTATTATGTACTCCATGGATGTTTTGGTGCTTGTAATGATTATTGATGATGGAGCTTATTGCTATAATGTAATTACTGCTTTTTGTGTCTGTCTCATTTTGTCCATAACTTTCTTGAGAGAAGAAATACAGTCTTCACCTCCTCTGTCCTCTCTAATCCTTTTGTAATAAGCACAGTGGGTGAGGAAAAGGAATCCAGCTGTAGAGTAACATAGTAGCTACCTTGCAAATATTATGCTTTGAAATCGTTTGTGGTTTGTAACATCAAATACAAGTAGTAAATACAGTAAATACATGTTTGTCAGGTGGGAGTTTTAATAATGGAGAAAAATATATGTCAGTATAAATACATCCTGATTTGACATAAGGAATATTATGGCTTTATTTGTTAAGTTTAAAAACAAAACAAAACCACTGCTATTATGCAGCACAAAGATATGTATTTATAGCTATATGTAACTATAYATATAACTACAAAGAATGTTGTGTTTAAATGTTCCTTCACTTTTACTTGCAGCATGTGAGAAAATGGATGTAACAGGATACTGCAGAGATCTAATCAAGATCCTTGAGCAAGCTGAGAGCATGAGTGAGAAACTCACCCCACTGAAATTAATTGATGCCTGGTCTGGGAAAGGTGTGTCCAAATTCAGGGTTCCTGCAGTTACTCCACCCAAGCACCCTCGAGAGGAACTGGAGAGAATTATTGCCCATTTACTTCTGCAGCAGTATCTGAAGTATGTAAGATAACTGTATGTAAGATTACTTCTGCAGCAGTATCTGAAGTATGTAAGATAACTGTTTTGTTTTGTTTGGTTTTTTAACATCTAGTAGTCATTTTTCTTCACTCTCTTGTTACTTCTGTATAACATTAATGGATGCATTCTTTAGTCTTGTTTTTACTTCAGATGTATTTAGTATATTTTTAAAACACTGCAAATATTGCTATATATCCATTTCAAAAGTTGGAGGAACATTTGAATGCTGCATCTTGTGCAATTAAAAAAAGCTGGGGTCTTCTGTATTCAGGTAGAATGTTTAAATCTGCAGCAAAATTAATTTTGGAGAAGTCTGCAGTTTATACAGATCTCATTCACATTCCATGGATGAAGAAAGCAAATGGGAATTGCCCACACGATGTCTAAGTCAGGAAAGACTGGCTAGTGTGGAAAGTGGTACTCTGAAATTTTAAGAAAGCATAGTGAAAGTAACAATGGTGCTGCCTTCATAAGTTGTCTGTGTGCTGTGYGTTTTGTCTTCTCATATTTTGTAAGTCCAAGAATATCTACAAATCAAATATTGAATCCCCTTTATCTTTTCTTTCCATCTCCTTGTGCAACTTTTTTATATTATTAAGAGGGTGAGCAGATGACTTTTTACATCTTTTTCCTCATTTTCCTCCATGCGGTTCAAGAGATTAACAAGTGTGTCTGAGTGTTTGTGTAAAGGTCCACAGATTGAATTATGCTAAGTGTTGACCAGAGTAGCTCTAAGTCAACTGTCTACTTGAATAGATAAAACAGAATGAAGTTGGTATTTGGAACATCCATCAGAAGGGTTATGTGTCCCTTTCATCATGGAAAGAGTTGTCAAKATTGAAGCAGGCTGCCCAGGGAAGTGGTTGAGTCACCATCCCTGGGAGCATGTTCACAAAACATRCATATGGCATTTGAGGACATGATTTAGTGGCAGTGCTGAGTTGATGGTTGGACTCGATGATTTTGGAAATCTTTTCTAAACTTAATAATTCTATGATTTTTCTCGTTGCATAGTCTGGCCTGTGTCTCCAATCTTCCTTTGTAACACTGATTTAATTCATGCAGGGAGGATTTCAGCTTCACAGCATTTGCTACGATATCCTACCTGAAAGTGGGACCGAAAGCCYGGCTGCTGAAAAATGAGGGGCATGTCATCACCATAGAAGGAATAACAAATAGGAAAAATGTTTCCAAGGTATTTAGATCTCTACTAATTTGGTATATACTTATCATCTCCATTATAACTTAGTTTAATGATTTGGTGTCTGCTGAAAATATTTTTTGTAGTAATGTTATCAATCTCATAAATATTCTCTTTCTGTAGGAACATGGAAAAAGAAGGAAAACAGTTATTTTAATTGAACTCTTTGTATCTTGCAGGTCAAATCATCTCAATCTTCAAATTCAAAAGGAAGTGGGGAAAATGCCCAGACTGTATCAAASACTGTCCAAAATTCAGTGGTGAAGAAATCACAGGAACATAAACGGCCCAGCTGTAGTCCTAACTTAAAAGCAAAGAAGCCTAAGCTTCAGGCAGCTGGAAATGATCAACCAGTAGTTATTGACTGAGTGTCACAAACTACATTTAGGATCCAATCATGGTTGCTGCTCCATGGACAATGCAGTGTGTAAGTTCAGTTTGTGCTTTAATAATGGCATTTTTTTTATTTAATAAACACTGGAGAGGGAACAAGTATCTTTAAAAACCGGCAAATCTAGAAGGCGGCTAGTAGTGAAGGGAAAAGTGCTTTGTATCAAAATAATAGGATACAGCAATGAGTACAAAACCTATATAATGCCCATGTTGCCTTTTTAATTCTTTTGGAAGTGTAGTGTATACTATTGCAGGATCACACAGTCTGGAAAGGACAGCCAGAGATTCAGGTTTCCAGACTTCCTTCCTATGGGAGTCTTCACCCACTGCTCCTGAGAGTCATTTTGAGGTTTCTCCACTTCGCAGCACAGGACTTAGGTGGTCCTGAGCTCTGCAGCATCTCTGAACATGCTGTCACCTCCTCTTCCTTCTGCCTGCTGTGCAGGTGACTCTCCTCCTTCACCAGTGACTCCACTGCAGTCAGGGYATAGCTTCCCTAGGGTGACTGTTGTCACCAGCCCCAGGGAGTGACATCAGAGACTGGCATGCTGCAGCATCCTTCCTCTGGAGCCCTGTCTGGGTCAAAGCTGTTGCTGTGCCAGGGCTGGTTGTTCCAGCACATGTGAGCATTGCCATCTCTGCAGTTCTGAGCAGGGAGATGAGTCCCTAACACCCACTGTAACATATTTGAGTGAAATACTGTATGTATTTATGTGAAATATTATGTGTATTTATCCCTTTGAAATCTGTCTGTTGTCTTTAGAACAGGATGGMTCTAGCTTGTTATTCAAATAGAAATGTATGACTTCTGTACATTTCAGAAGTACCTACTTACAAGTTTACAAACAAGACAACCTGCCAGCCTGAGGAAGACTCAWACAGCCACTGCTGCCTGCAAGCATTCTCAGGCACACACTGCTGAGTGCTAGATTCAATTTTATTTACTTTTAACATGTTGGCAGCCAAAGATCAAAAAGGCAAGTTCAGTTTCACTAATAAACCCAAGTTCTGGGTGGTTGCTTTTTGGTTCTCTTCCTCCCCCAACACTTCCATGTGTAACAAAAATATAAAACAAGTATCACTAAGAACATGCTCTTCATCTTTATTCTTTTGGTACAATTGTGACATTGACTAAACCCTATTGTCCTTCACCAATCCTTTAGCTGAAGCCTTTGCAAAAAGTTGAATTAATATAGTTTTAAAAAGTCATTCTCTTAAAAAAAAAATTAGTGATTTGTCTGGGAGAAGCCTCAATATGGMTGRCCACCTTTGCAATAAATTGTTCCCWGTTTGACCCTAAATCAATAGCAACTCCCAAGCAGCAGCTGTAGAACAGAATCAAAAGCCGGGATGATAAAACTGCTGTCCAGGGAGAGCAGGAATAGATGTCCAGGAATAGAGTGCAGCTCTACCCCACTACCCTGACAGCTGAAAGGACAAGCAGTTAAAAAGCTGCTCTCAACTGCCATCTCATCCTGGCTTTCACTGTGCAAAGCTTGTGTTCTGTACCTCAATGAGTAGACAATACATTTATTTCAGAAGTTAACTTATGGTGGGGAAAAAGTAAAAAGGGTGTAAGGCCATATATTTGCAACCCACATTCCARGTACTAAGAGCTCTGAGCACCCTGTGCCCTAAAACTGTTCTCTGGTCATAGGAACCAGCTTAAGAGAGATTGTTGCACCACTAACTGATACTTGTGGCAGCACCAGTCAGTATTTTGGCAAGATCAASACAAGATCTTAACAGAGAATTGCATTTATCCTTCATTTCTGGTGATCCTGAGAAAACAGTTTTGTAAGATGTATTACTTGGTACCAAAGCTTGATACAAAATGAAAATGGRTATTAGTCAATCAAAATAATCTTCTATATCAATATCTGGATTTAGGAGATCTTCACCATAGGCTGAAAGATCCATTTGATTTAAGATTAAATTTTCAAAGGTTTCTTCTAAGTCTGTTTCTCCAATCAGCACAGCTCCCATCATTCGGCCATTCTGCATCACCACCTTCACATACTCGTGTCCCTTGGTACATCTCAGCATCAGCTCATGGTCTGAGCCCAAGCCCTGAGCATTGTACTTCCCCAAAACCACCACCTAGCAAAGGAAAAGGGAAAAGAAAAAGCTCTTACAAGAACATTGCAGTGCCTTTTAGTATTTCTGCTGCTAACAGTTCCAGGCCTCAAAAGTGATGCAAACAGGGAARTATTTGTCCCTAAGGTCCCTCCTCCCCCACCACTGCCTTGCAATCGACTCAAAAAATCTTCCCCTTGAAATATGATACACRTAAGTATGAATGGAGAAAATCTAAGCTAAGATTAATAACTATATAAAAAATCTGTTTTGTGAATATTAGAGCAATTGCTTAGTGTCAGTGAATATAAGCAAGCATTATGTGTTACTCAGTGATTTATGACTATCAGACTGTATTTACCTTGTAATTGAAAAATTTTGTAACGTGAGCAAATAGTTCAAAGCTGAAGTCCATATCAATAGATTCCCCTAAAGCATCTGCTRCCATGCACTTTGCTGCATACCATCCCATCTGCCGAGCTTGGGTCCACAGCCTCATCTGAAAGAGGAAATTGGAAAGATTTAAGTCAGAAGACTGTCACTGTGCCATGACCACACTCACTGCACTCYTCAGTGCATACTCTGTGTTTTTAATACTCAGAAGGGCTGGCCAGCACGGTTTCCAACCACCTCCATCAAACTCTGTCACCAACACCCCCAGGATTATCCACCTGCTTAACCTTGGTTTGTGCACTGGTGCTCAGAGTTCCCTGTGGCTCACACTCATCCAAGGACRTACCTGGTGCCACACAGGGCTCGGCTCCCACGCTGCCGTGCAGATGTCTCCAGCTGCGTACACATCTGGCAGGGACGTGTGCATGTGCTTGTCTACCTTCAGTCCTCCGTCCTCACCCACAGCAAACTGAAGGGTTTGCACGCGTCAGTGAGGAGAAATGGAATCATTTTAACCAAGTCATGCAAYTTTCTCCACCTTAAGCAATCATCTGTCACTTTATTACTTAACATGAGACTATTGAATGAGTGGCAGGGAAGCTTCCATGGAAGGAAGCATCATCATCATCATCATTATTATAATTGTTATTATTTCTAGATCRCAGCACAGGTTTTGTAGGACTATTACTGATACCTAGGCAGGGAAGTAACTGGGCTTGCCAAATTTCAAATCACAYTTTGTGTTACAAGGACACTCAGTCATAAGAATTCATTATGTATTTATGCCAAGGCAGAAAAATACCATTGCAAAAACTTAATTCCTGATCTAAGCTTGTAGCATAGGCCTGGAAATATCTCATGGCTTGACATCAGGTCTATGTTTTCCACATTTTTTTCAGCTTTACACAGAACACAGCCTTCTACTTCCAATCAGATGGCAACACCAAATASCCCAACGTCCTGGTTTTGTCTGGGATAATTTCCTTAGTAGTAGCTTGTATGGGGCTATTGGTTGGATTTGTGATGAAAACAGCATTAATAACCCAAGGATGTTTTAGTTGTTGCTGAGCAGACACTGAACACAGAGACAGAATAACCTTAAGGCCTGGAAATACACACAGCAGTTACGAACTCTGGAATCACCGTCCACGTTTGGGTGCTGATTCAGGGTGACTTCCCTCAACGAACATGAGCACCCTGACAGCTCAGTGTCCCAGATGAAAAATATTGGCAATAACTGCTGCCTTCCCAGAAAAAAAGGCCAAGATTTATACGGTAAGAATATGGTGCCGAATTAACACAAAAATTACATTTTTGCCACATTAGCCAATTATACAGATGCTTTTCTCTCTTTGTATAGGCTTAATTCAACAGTTTATGCTGTATATATACTGTGTATATACACCTGGGGAACAACATAATAAACCAAGACCACAAATCGAATACATTTTTACTGTGTTGGATGTTTCAGTATAAATGTACCTGCCTTACTTTGTGATGCTGCACAATATTTAAATCTTTAGCGAACCATATTTCATGTCAGAACAGAAAAAGTTTCTGAAAAAGTTTCTTTCACCTTACTTAAAAAGCTCCAGAAAAAAATGAGCATACTTACATTATTGCCATGAAGAAATGGTCCAATATTTGGTACAACTCCRGTTGCACTGACAATGAAATTGCATCCATAAATTTTTCCATTAGTTAATTCCACATATACAGGCCACAGCACTGAAAAAGGGGAAAATTTTGCCCTGAGAATGTAACCAACAGAAGTTATTTTATTAATTATGTCTTATTATAAGATATGATACACAAAGAAAGAAAACCCAAACCTTTTAGGTAACTGAATAGGTAGAGAAAACTGAAAATTCAAAAAAAAAAAAAGAAGAAAATATTATCAAGGGTCACCTGTAACATTTCTTAATGTCACTCAGAACAAGAGAAAAAAAAATTATTTTGGTTCTTAGCTCCAAGTTTTACTAATAACTTTCTTTGGAATTTTCCTTAATCAAAGCCCTCATTTGTAAGGAGGAAATACTGTGTCCTGTGGGATGTTCTCTCAAGTATGCAATTGCCAAATATTCTTTTATGTATAAATTTCCAGATGCACAGGAAGTACCTCAAAAGCACTTAYGCTGGAAGTAACTGATTACTGTAAYAGAATTTTAAATAGTAATTTTAATTAGGTGGAATGTACAGGCATAATTATCCATTATAAAGGGATATTCTCCTCTACTTTAAAGGTTTACTTCAGCTTTGACACAAAATGTTGATGTTTCTTTCTTCTAACTCCACTATTAAAATATTACTTGATTGGACTGTGGTAACGATGGAATATTCTGCATAGAGGATTGCAGTTACTTTGGAAAAAGGAGTCTGACACATAATAATATTTTGTAACTTAATTGTAGCCCATAATTTAATTACTATAATTTGCTAGACCTCAATTTATAGAGATAAAGGATTTATTTTTCAAATCAGTATTTGCTTTAAAACAGCAAACAAG